ATCCGCCTCCCACTCTCTCCCTATTTATTTCAAAACCCCCTTCCCCTCCCCCTTTTCTGATGAAGGGTCTAGGCCCGAAACGTCAGCCTCTCTGCTCCTATGATGCTGCTTGGCCTGCTGTGTTCATCCAGCCCTGCACCTTGTTGTCTCATAGTCCTGGCGAAGTCCTGCAGCACCATGTATCTGATCACAATGTAAATTGTTGGTAAACGTTCCATGGTTTTCACTAGTATTGTGTCTAATCTTTGTGTGCCTAAAGCTCCCAAAAGCTGCTCAATTATTTCTACACTGGAAAGCAAACAGGTTGTACTAAACTTGTATAAAGACTTTGTTAACAACGCATTTGAGTCCGCAAATATTTCTGGGGTCCATTTCATGAAAGTGACATAGAGGCTTAAGAAAATTACCAGAATGATGCTGGAGCTGGGAGGCTATCTTCATCAGGGAAGATTGAAGAGGCTGGATGCTCTCCTCTAGACAGAACATCACAGGGTGATCTAATAAAGTTCTTTAAGGGCTTGATCTGGGTGAAAGGATAATGTTTCTATTTGAAGAGTGAAAATCTAGGGGCCATAGACAGTTACTAATGAATTCAATACGGAATTCGGGAAAACCTCTTCAGCTGGAGTGGAGAGTATGTGAAACTGGCCACCGCCAGAAGCAGGAGAAGCTGGATAACACAGTGTGGAGCTGGAATGAACAAGCAGGTCAGGCAGCAGCAGAGGAGCAGGAGAGTCGACGTTTCGGGACGGGACCCTTCATCAGGCCTGCTGTATTCTTCCAGCTCCGCACTGTGTTATCTCTGACTCCAGCATCGGCAGTTCTTACTATCTCCGAGAAGCTGAATAAAAGGCGGGGCTCAGGGTGCGGGAGAGGAATGGGAGGATATGTTAACAGTTTACAGAGGGTGAGGCTGGAAAATGCGGGCTGTTTGGGCTAAGTGGCCCGTAATGTTTAGAATGCTGCATGGCACATGGGACTATTGCAAAATAAATTCACCCCTAAAGTGCGATTATTCCAATATTATTTAAATATAGAATGGGTTAAAATAGAATTTCGTGTTTACAGAATCGCGGAGTGCTCCAATGCTTATAGGTAATAGGAACTGCCGATGCTGGAGTCTGAGATAACAAGCTCCATCAGCTTTCCTCCTCCTCTGATTCTGCCTGGCCTGCTGTGTTCCGATGCTTAGTTGTGCTTTGTATCAACCGGACTGACAAGATACAACATGATGGGCGGTGCAGCTACAATTGACACTCGTATTGATTCAGCTCTTGAAATTGAAACGGAAGTGCCTTCCCTCTCATTGTGTCAGTCTGTCTCTTCAGAAACATGTCCTTCCTGAAAGTGGAAGAAGACTCGGATTTCCCAATCCAGAACCTTCCGTTCGGTGTGTTTTCCACTCCGGATAACGTAAGTGACTCGAAAATATTTCACACCATGGTGGGGGCGGGCCGCTGGGGCGGGTGTTTTATAAGGAGCGGTGTTAATTTCAGTTTGGGCAACGTGTCCGAAACGGACACAAAGCATGAAAACTTATTTCCAGCATCCGCGATGTTTGCTTTAGTTTTGATGTCTGGGCTGTGAACCACTGTAGACCATTTCACCACACCTAGTGCAGCATTGCAGCGAGAAACAACTGCTTTACAATATTAACTCTTTCCCCGTGAAACTGAGCCGTGAAAACCCCCACTTCAGGACAAAAGGAAATTTCTCGGTGCCTGGATAACTCCCCGGTGTTTCTGTCACTTTCCAATCAGTTTATTTAGCTTGGGAACGCGTTTGAAGAAGTGTCTACCATAGCGCACGGGTCCCTGAGTAGGATTTCTGATGAAGGGTCTAGGCCCGAAACGTCAGCTTCCCTGCTCCTATGATGCTGCTTGGCCTGCTGTGTTCATCCAGCTCTGCACCTTGTTGTCCCTGAGTAGTGTTCACTTGTGCCCATCAAACGTTGAGCAGCAGGGCTGAACGTAGATAGCGCCTTTCACAGTATCAGCACTGTTCAGAGTGAAATATTTCCGAAAGGTACTCACTGTTGCAATGTCCCATTGTATCAGTCAGAACAATTCCCCAGACACAGCAATGAGATAAATGATCATAATGTTTATAGTGATATTGCTGTCAGGACAAATATTGACCAGAAAATCAAGGAAAACCTAATTGAACTGGTCCTATGGAATCTTGGGTGTTCACTTGAGAGAACAAGTAATTGATTTAACTTTTGACCCAAAAAGGGACCTGACTGACGGTGCCCTCAGTGCTGTGCTAGAGGTGCAAACCTAGGAGAGGGAATACTGCAAAGCTTGTCCAGCCTAGAGCCTCTGGTTTATGGATTCACAGCCAGTGTCACAATGGACCTTCTTCGAAAGTGACACAGAGGCTGAGCAAGGGTAAGGCTAGGTGAATGGAGAGGGTGAATATCCACTCAGGTGAACGCTACATAACTGCAGATTATCATTTCTGATGAAGGGTCTAGGCCCGAAACGTCAGCCTCTCTGCTCCTGTGATGCTGCTTGGCCTGCTGTGTTCATCCAGCCCTGCACCTTGTTGTCTCGGATTCTCCAGCATCTGCAGTTCCTACTATCTCTCATGCAGATTATCATTACCATGTTTATAGTAACAACCAGTGAAGAGACGTCTCAGAGTTTGTTTTCGAGAAGCTGCAAAACAGGGTCCACTGCAGTGACCTGATGTTCAAAATGCAATAGCAATTGGCCAGAGATTTCACAAGATTGTAAATAAACCATAATCAGCATCAGAAACATCTGAAAAACAGTTTAGCAACCTGGTCAAAAGGGTGTGTTTAAAGAAATTCACATTTATTTAAAGAAAGGTACAATTGCATGGATCAAGGGTATCCATTTGTAGGTTAAGCCAAGGGCCACAGTCAAACAGTGTCACGAAGCCAGCAGTAAAACTAATTCCTGCCAACAGTACACTGATCTTCACAGGCCCTGGGTCAGAGACCTCTGCCGGCAGAGTTATGATGTCCTTGGATTGCTATCAGGAGACAAACTTCATCACCAATCATTGTCAGAAAAGTCAACAAGGTCTTTAAAATTATTGGAAGTAAAGGGTACTGTTGAAAATATGTTAATGATTTACAACTTTTATGTGAAATGTGACTTAAGCAAAGCCAGAAAGGGCAGCTCTGCATTTGTCAGTGTCTTGCTTTTAGACAGGAGAAAGAAGCTGTAAAAACGAAGGGGGTGGGAGTCTCAGAACATTGGCTAAAGAAACAATCATTGGCTGGAATGACAGTGGAGATGCCAGAAATAAGATCAAGTGTGTTCACACAGGTTGAACGAAGGAATAAAAAAAAAGGGGAAATCACACTGCCAGGAGTCTTCGGCAGACCAAACAGTTAGAGGGAGAGAGAAAAGCAACTCTGTAGGCAAATTGCTGAGAAGTGATGACACAATTGGACAAAAACAGTGGGACTACTATTCCACCTGAATATTAACCCGGATAAATTCAGTGTAGTAGGTATAGAGAATGCAGAATACCAGAATGCATGTGGTCAGGAAAATATGTCAGAAGGTAGCAAGGGCAACAAGAAAAGGATTTAGTTTAAGGAGATGAAGCTGATAGAAGAGATATTAGTAGGGGAATATAATGCTGGTTACTATCATAATTCAGATAGATTTGGCATAGTTACAGAAAAGTGCACAGTAGACCAAAAACAATGTTACTAAACTGAGATGTGATTGACAAAAGTAGCCTGGAAACAGCTGTAGGTGTTGAAGGTAATTTAAAAAAAAAATTGTTTACTATTGGGACATGGGCACCATTGGCTGGTAAGCGTTTATAACCCGTCCCTGGCTGCCCTTGAGAAGGTGGTGGTGAGCTGCCTTCTTGAACCACTGCAGTCCACATGCTATAGGTAGACCCACAATGCCCTTAGGGAGGGAATTCCAGAATTTTGACCCAGCAACATCGAAGGAATGGCAATATATTGTGCCATATATATGGCGATATATATTAAGGGAGGCGATGGCCTAATGGTATTCTCACTGGACTGTTAATCCAGAGACCCAGACAACATTCTGGGGACCTGGGTTCGAATCCTGCAACAGCAGATGGTGGAATTGAATTCAATAAATATCTGGAATTAAGAGTCCAATGATGACCATGAATCCATTGTGAATTGTTGGAAAAAACTACCTGGTTCACTAGGGAAGGAAACTGCCTCCTTACCTGGTCTGGCCTACATGTGACTCCAGACCCACATCAATGTGGTTGACTCTTAACTGCCCTCTGGGCAATAAATGCAGCCTGGCCAGCGATGCCCTCATCCCATAAATGAATAAAGAAGAAAAAAAACATTCCAAGTCAGGATGGCGAGTGGCTTGGAAGGGAACTTGCAGGTGGTAGTGTTTCCATGTATCTGTGCTCTTTTCCTTGGAAGTGGTTATGGGTTTGGAAGGGTCTCGACCTGAAACACCAACTTTCCTGCTCCTCTGATTCTGCCTGGCCAGCTGTGTTCCTCCAGCCCCATACTATGTTGTCTCTGACTCCAGCATCTGCAGTTCTTGCTATTCCCAGCCTCTGTCCTGCTCTTGTAGCCACTGTATTTGTGTAGTGAGTACAGTTGAGTTTCTGGTCAATGGTAACCTCCAGGATGTAGATAGTGTGGGATTCAGTGGCAGTAACACTGAATGTCAGAGGCAGTGGTTAGATCATCTCTTATTGGAGATCTATGAATAATGAATTCTCTCTCTCCCTCTCGCTCTTTCCCTCACACACATACATATGCACACACATATGTACATCCATGGGGTGAATTTGTATTTGCAGATACATTCTATTTTGTTTGAAAAACATACCACATTGACTGACTGTCTATAAATTGTATTTTATAAATTCCTACTTTAGAAATACAACCAGTCTGACTCCAAACCAAAACATAAACAGATTCAAACAAGACCTCATACCTAACATGCATTGACTGACCTAAAATGTCACCTCTTCTTTACACTGATAAAACCTTTAATTCTCTCAGGTCAGTGACTTGAAATGAATTCAGGGATTTAGATGTACATAATAATCAATTAAAACCTTCGAACTGATTAAAGATTTAACAGCCTCTTAGGTTTGTTTATTACATCCTCGTCAGTGGTGTGACCCTTTGATCTTTTACGTATAAATTCTGCAACTGATACCATCTCACTAATACCTGAAGAAGGACCGAGGCTCCGAAAGCTTGTGTTTTCAAATAAACCCTGTTGGACTATAACCTGGTGCTGTATGTTTTCTGACCTTGTCCACCCCAGTCCAACACCAGCACCTCCATATTATGAATAATGAAATGAGTGAGCAGTGGGAAGTATTCAAGAAGGAGAAAGAGAGTGCTCAAAACAAATGTGATCACAGAAACAATAAGGGCAGTTATCCCAACTCTTTAGCCCCAGATGTCAAAGAGCATGTAGAACAGGACAAGGCACACAAAAGGGAAGCTTGTCCCAATACTGTAGAAAACCTAGAGCAGTGCAAACATGCATGGTAAAATTTGCAATCACATTAGGAAAGCAAAGAGTATGCATAAAAAGATATTGGCAAGCAAATTAAAAAGATTCATAAATCCATAAACAACGAAAGGATAACTAAGGAAAGGACCAAAAAGTTCAAAGGTAGAAGATGTAGACATGTTTATTTCAACATGTGCAGAATCTCTGAGGTTGTCATTCATCAACTCGAGTGTATTCATTGGGAGAACAGACCAGATATTGTCTTATAATAAGAGACTTTCTAGGCTGTATGAGAACAATAAATCAGGAAAAAGAAGTAAATATTTGCAGAAAAGCATGCAGAAAGATTAAAACCAGAGGCAGGATATAAATGTTGTGGGCGGACATCACATAATGTAAAGGAAGTATTTCCAGTGTAGGGAAGCAGTACTCTAACTGCAAGAAACTGTATGTGTTTATTTGGAAAGAAGCAAAGGAAGCTTAGAGGGAGAGACAGATGCTAGAGAGATGTCAGACAATGATTCTGATGCATCTTTCAGCAGGTTGGTGATGTCAGGTCTAAAGGTACTTATGGTTTGTGACTGTTAGAATGATGACTGCAGAAGAAGAACATCAAATGAACATGAAGTATCAGATAGACACTGATGCTTCGTGCAACATCAAGAGTTTTGAAGAGCTGTGTGAAGTGGCTCAAGATGGTACTTAACGAGCAGGCTAATTGGACAGTGAGCAGAAGTTTCTGAGTTCCATTCTCTGTTTATTTCGAATTTATTGTGGGCTATGTGTGTTGCTACTGACCAGCTCAGCACAGACTGTGGATGGGGACCCTCTTGAATGACTGTCTGGCCTCCACGTGGCCATGTGAAATGTTCAGCTGCAGACATTTGTACAATTGAGAAAAGTAGAAAGGATACTTTAATTATCTCTGCTTTCCTTTTGTGCCTTTCAGCCAACCCATAGAATCGGTGTTGCCATTGGAGACCAGATCTTAGACCTCAGTGTCGTCAAACATCTCTTCACTGGCTCAGCTCTCTCTAAACATCAACATGTCTTCGCCCAGGTAAGGTGCACCACATGCTGGAATAAGTGGCTAGTCTTCTGTGAAGCAATTTCTAGTCCCTTCGAGCCCATGTAAAGCCCGGGTAATTATCAAGCTGTTCTTCACAGAAAGAAATAACTTTCATTTTTATAGTGCCGTTCACAAACACAGGACACCCCAATGTCCTTTACTGCCACTGAAATGTTTTTCCAAGGTGTAGTCAATATAAGTATACAGAACAGCGAGCAGCAATGCGATTCTGACCAGCCCAATCACCTTTAGATATTGAGGGTTAAATATTGGTCAGGATTGCAGGGGGATCTTTAAATTGTGCTGTAGACTCATTCAGCAGGGAGGGGGCAGACTGAGCCTCGGTCCAGTGTCCCACCCGACAGATAACTCCATCACTTGGAATTTGTGTTCAGTTCTCTAGGAAGAGTCTTGAGCTGACAATTCTGAGAGATAAGAATGCTAACACTGAGCCAGGCTAACATCTTAGAAGCACGCACATATTGATTTAGATTATTACCTAGTATGCAGACTAATGGAGAGTTTCAGTAAATTATCATTTAATTCAAATTAACGTTAGAGTAGGTTGGTGAGAAATAAGTAAGGAGCTTTGACCACATCCCTCCAGTTTGGATTTATTAGCAATACAGTGAGTTAGTTGGTCAACATCAAACATTTCCAAATGCTTTAAATAAATTCCACCTATTCAGGGGTATCAAACTACATCCGCTTGGTGATATACCTGTTGCTGTATCATGCCACATTATATTTGGATCCTTGATCAACCTACAATTTTCAGACACACCCAGTCAGATGAAAGTAAACACACACTTGATAAGACCCTCAAGATGCTTTGGATGAAAAGGCACACAACAGGGACTCTCCGTCAGAATGTGCCATCCCTCCGTGCCTTTGCTGGAGTTTATTGCTGCACTGTGTTGCCGTGCAGTCTTGTGACTTAGCACTGTGGTCCGTCAATTCCCTATGCTCTTTCCTCTTTATGTATCATAGTGATTCTTGTTATTCACAAACGTGTTTTGGAAAGCACACTTAGGCCCAACATCTGACACTGTATAATGACAGGAAGGAGCTTGGAACCTCACATGCAGACTCTGAAGTTCAGGTTATCATTCCAGCTCGAAATGTACCTTGTTGGCTTGGAGTCAAGGATGACTAAACACAGTCAATCAGTAACCCAGCCTCTCGCTTTCAATTTTCCGCACTCAGTGCAGGTAAAGTACAGTAGGGAAAGAGTCACTTTAATGACCATTGTCGGAATCTGATTGAATGGCTCACAAAATCACTCAGTTTAAAGGGCAAACCACACAACTAAAGCTATCAAATTGAAATCTTCTTTCGAAGATAATTTTCAAGACACAGGGTATCTGGATAGAAGGTTTTTTTTTTACTTCTTGAGACAAGCACCAGCTGTTGTGGTCCTACTCATGAACACAAGCTGTGCCAACTTGGCCTTATGAGTGTCTCACCCTTTTCCGCAATGAACAATGTCAGAACCTCTTTCCTGACTCTGCATGTCATTTAAAAATTACAGGCAGTGAGATAGGGGGCTGCATGTTTTAATCACGGGTGGGAACTGGAAGTGGGTGGTAGTTCAGGATCCCAATCCTGATGTGGGCATGCTAGTGAAACTTTCAATCCCCTGTGCCAATTAAAACCCAGCAAGTGAGATCAGGGAATGGCACTGGTCAGCCAATGGAAGACCCTCAGCACTCACTGATCAGTGGGACCCACCTACCATACAGTGAGATGGGAACTGCTGATTAGGGCATGGACACACTGGGCAGGTGATGGCCTAGTGGTATTAACAGGTTCAAATCCTGCCACAGCAGATGGTGGAATTTGAATTCAATTTTGAAAACTTCTGGAATTTAGGATCTATCGATAACCACTACTGATTGTTGGAAAAACTCATGTGACTCACTCATGCCTTCAGTGAAGGAAATCTGCCATACTTACCTGGTCTGGCCTACATGTGAGTCCAGGCCCACAGCAATGTGGTTGACTCTCAAATGTCCTCTGAAAAGGCCTAACATGCCAGTCAGTTCAAGAGCAGTTAGGGACGGTCAGTAAATGCTGGCCAGTTAGTAGCTCCCATGTTCCACAAGTGAATAAAAAAAAACTTGTATTTGAATTAATAGCACGAGTAGGTAATTTGACCTCTTGAAACTGCTCTACTGTTCAATTTGATATGGTTGATGTAATGCCTCTGCGTTCCTGTCCATCTCCTATACCCTTTGACTCTCTTAAACAATCTAGAACAGTGTAAAAATATTCAAAGGCTCCACCTCTACCGGTCTGTGGCGAAGAACGTTCTACAGACCAACCATCCTCTGAGAGAGAAAAACAATTATCTGAGTCTCACCTTTAGATGGGCCACATCTTAGATGGCTCAGTGGTTAGCGCTGCTGCCTCACAACACCAGGGGCCCAGGTTCAATTCCACCCTCCGGCAACTGTCTGTGTGGAGTTTTCACGTTCTCCCCGTGTCTGCGTGGGTTTCCTCCAGGTGCTCCGGTTTCATCCCACAGTCCAAAGATGTGCAGGTTATGTGGATTGGCCATGCTAAATTGCCCATAGTGTTCAGGGATGTGTAGGTTAGGTGGATTATAGGGGGATGGGTCTGGGTAGGTTCTCTGAGAGTCAGTGTGGACTTGTTGGGCTGAAGTGCCTGTTTCCACACTGTAGGGAGTCCACGTCTAATCTTATTTTTAAAATGTGTTACCTAACTCTAGTCTCTTTATCAAGGTTAAACATCCTCATGGCATCTACCCTGTCGAGTCCTCTCAGGGTCTTATACATTTCAATGAGATCGCCTCTCATTCTTCTAAACTCTACTGGATACAGGCTCATCCTGTCCATCCTTTCCTTGTAAGATAACCCCTGCATCCCATGAATCCTTTAATTGAACTGTCTCTGTGACACCTCTCCAGCATTTATACAATTTGTCACTAATGCCTGTGAGACTGCGAGGGAGAGCCCACAGCTGTCTGGACGTGATCCTACAGACAGTTGCCTCTCTAAGTGGTGGAGAGCTGTGGTGTCTCTCTAACATTCCCTTGGGCACCATGGGTTTACACCTGGGCACTGTGGACAGTTTTGTGTTTTTACTGCCCAGAGGCCATTGTAGCTCCTTTTGTGTGATGTCAGCCCAGCTTCCATTCTCACCCTGAGCATCTACGGGCACTGCCTGTTTTATTGAATTGAGATCCCTATTGGTACAGCAACAGGGCCTCGATAGGCCCGTAATGAACATAATTAGAGATAGCAGGAACTGTGTTCATCCAGCTCTACACCTTGTTATCTCATGAACATAATTAGTATTGATTAGCCTCAGTTTGCTGCCTGCTACTTCCCAGCAGGCAACCTCTCCACAAATGAGCCAGCCTTCCAACCAAATCTCAAAAAAAATGGAGATCCTGGTGATAGTATCATTTGCAGTGGACCAGGAGCCTTCTCAGGAGAGGATTCCTACAGGAGGTATGTCATGGGCAGTCTAACAGGTGGATTATCACCGTAAATCCTCCTGATCCACCAATGGTAGGATATAAGATCAGGTAGCTGCAAGATCCCCACATTAAAAGACACCAGGTGCAGTTCCCTGCTATGAGCAAGGGTCACACTCACTCTGAGGGACCACACACACACACACACACACACACACACAAATGCTTTTAAAAATCCAGCAGTCCCATTGAATTAGTTACTAGCTGTGATACTGAGTTAGAATCATGGAATGATCTGCCACAGAAGAAGACCACTCTGCCCACCATGCCTGTGCTATATTCTTGCATTTGTAGGATACTAATGACTGAAACATTGTGTCTTTCTTGCAGCCAATCCTTAACCCTTTCATGGCTCTTGGCCGTGAAGCCTGGAGGGAAGCTCGAGCCTTTCTGCAGCAGCTCTTGTCGGCTGGTGAAGCGACACTGCGGGATAACAAAGAACTGAGGCAGAAGTAAGGAACCATTACATGGACCTGGCTACAATAAGCCTTTAGTGAATGCTGTTAAAATTAATCTTTTAAATGTAGTGATGATTAACTTGGATGAATGTTGGCTGCCAGATGAATGGACTTTGCTAGAGTATCTGGGGGCTGGTTGGTAGGTTGCTCTGGGGCAAACTAACAATTCCGCATTTGTTGCATAACTGCTTACAACAACGACCTCCATTTAGATAGTGCCTTTAAAAGGGCAACATTATCACACAATGGCTTACACTGAGCCACATAAAGGACATTACGACAAGTGACCAAAACCTTGGCCAAAAATTTTAAGGTGTGCCTTAAAGGAGAAAAGCAAGATGGAAATGTTTAAGGAGCAATTTCTGGGGCTGGCGACCCGCACAGATGAAGACGCAGTCACCAATGGCCGAAGAGGCTGGAATCGGGAGTGGGCAGAGATTTTGGATGGTTATAATGTTGCAGGAGATTGCAGAGATACAGATGGTTGGAGCCATTAACAGTTCTGATCACAAGGATGAGAATTTTGAAATAGTGACATTGCTGGACAAGAAACCAACAGAAATCAGCAAATACAGGGGGCGTTAGTGCAAGTTAGGACGCTGGTGAACTCAAATTAATGCAGGTTGCAGGAATAAAATCTTTACTCATTAGTAAACATAAAACAGCCCCTGTGTTCAATTTGAGATAACAAGGTGTAGAGCTGGATGAACACAGCAGGCCAAGCAGCATCAGAGGAGCAGGAAAGCTGACGTTTTGGATCTGAACGCTTCTTCTTTAGAAGGATCTAGACCCGAAACGTCAGCTTTCCTGCTCCTTTGATGCTGCTTGGCCTGATGTGTTCATCCCACTGTACACCTTGCTATCTCAGATTCTCCAGCATCGGCAGTTCCTACTATCCCTGTGTTCAATTTGGTTTTTTTAACAAGGATTCAACTCAAGATAATGTGAATCTTCGCCATTGAAAATGAAGAAGGAGCATGCTGAGAGGTGAGATCCCCTTAGTGTTTGGGGTTATTTTTAATCAAGATGTCTTCCCTTTGTTCAGTGTACAAACAAAATGCATGGAATCATGTGGTGTCGATGATCTTGGCTACCGAGAGGAGAGATGACCTCTTTTCAGAAAGGTTTACCAAGCCACATATCACAAATGTGTAAAGTGTGGAAAGAAGCTATTTGGCACCTCAAGTCTGTGACAACCTTCTGAAGAGATCCCACCCTATCTCTGTAACCCTGCATTTCCCACGGCCAGTCCACCTAATACAACAAGATCTGGACAATACCCAGGCTTGGGCTGACAAGTGGCAAGTGACATTCGTGCCACACAAATGCCAGGCTATGACCATCACCAATAAGAGACAATCTAACCACCGCCCATTGACATTCAATTGTGTTACCATCACTGAAACCCCACTATCAACATCCTGGGTGTTACCATTGACCAGAAACTCAACTGGACTCACATTAACACTGTGACGACAAGGGCAGGCCAGAAGCTAGGAATACTGCAGCGAGTAGCTCACCTCCTGACTCCTCAAAACCTGTCCACCACCTACAAGGCACAAGTCAGGAATGTGATGGAATACTCCCCACCTGCCTGGATGAGTGCAGCCCCAACAACACTCCAGAAGCTTGACACCATCCAGGACAAAGCAGCCGCTTGATTGGTACTACATCCACAAGCATCCACTCCCTCCACCACTGACGCTCAGTAGCAGCAGTGTGTACTATCTACAAGATGCACTGCAGAAATTCACCAAAGATCCTCAGACAGCACCTTCCAAACCCACGACTACTTCCATCTAGAAGGACAAGAGCAGCAGATACATAGGAACACGACCATCTCCAAGTTCTCCTCCAAGTCACTCACCATTCTGACTTGGAAATATATCGCCGTTCCTTCACTGTCACTGGGTCAAAATCCTGGACTTCCCTCCCTGATAGCATTGTGGGTCAACCCAAAGCAGGAGGAATGCAGCAGTTCAAGAAGGCGGCTCACCGCCACCTTCTGAAGGGCAACTAGGGATGGGCAAGAAATGCTGGCCAGCCAGCAATGCCCACATCCCACAAAATGAATAGAAAAAAAAAACTGCACATCTTTAGTCTGTGGGAGGAAACCAGTGCACCTGGCAGAAACATACGCAGACACAGGGAAAATGTTAAAACTCCATATGGACAGTCACCTGAGGCTGGAATCAAACCCGGTTCCCTGGAGCTGTGAGGCAGCAGTGCTAACCACTGAGCCGCCGTGCGCCCACTGTTCCTGCTGGAAGGGACTCTGTTGTCCTCACCTGATCTGGCCTACATATGACCCATGATTCTCAGAACAAGGGTGACTCTTAAATGCCCTCCAAAATGGCCCAGAAAATATCAATTACAAGGGCAGTGATGGATGATCAACAAATGCTGGCCTTGCCAGTAATGTCACTTTCTATGAAAGGATACAAAGAAAACAGGCAGTGACAAAGCCATGACAATCCTCCCTTGGAATCCAGGCTTCAGGAGCTGAAGTCCCCCTTTGTGAGAGGTGCCAATCAAGGGCAGCTGCTCTTGTGCTCAGCAGCACCACCGAGGAGGTGTGGTTGTTACTGGAAGTACACCCACCTCCTTCTCCTGATGAGGGTCCCAGGATTGCAGAGTGCCCAGGCCATTGGTAAGCAATGTAGCGAGTAGTGCATCGATTAGGTGTTAGGGCAGGGGGTAATGGGCAAGGGGTCAAATGCAAGAGAAGGAGCTGGCTCTCATCAGCTCACCTGGCCCCACACCCCCCCTTCAAACAGGGCACAGCTCCCTCGACTAGGTCCCTGCCACCTCAGCCCGGGTTAGACGGTATGACTTGTTGGACACTCCCCAGTGTTGGCAGGTGCCTGCTGTAGCTGGGTTAATCTCAGTGGTAACTGGATGAGGTCCTTTGGTCATCTTTAATTGGCTGCTTAAAGGACTCAAGTGGTGGCACATGGGACAGTTGACCAAAGGCTTCCCGCCCAAAACAAAATTCCAGTTGAGATGGGGTAAGAGCAAAGGTTCGGGTACCCCCCTGCCCTTTCCCAATAAAATGCCTGTCCCAGTTCCAAGCTCAACACCAGTGGGAGCCGAAGTGTCCATCCTGCTTTGGTCCTGCTCCTCCAGCACTGAAAGATATTGTTAGAACTCATTATAGGGCAGTGGATGGATACTGAACAGGGAGGGAAAGGGAAGTTCATCAATGCGTCGACACTGAGGGAGTGAGATCTAGAGGATGAGGGCAAAGTGGTTACAGGATCCTGCACTGTGTGTGAAGTAGATTGGGGGGGGTAGTGGGGTTGGTGTGAAATGAGTGAGTGTTGGAGGAGGGGCAGAGGGCCAGTGAGGATCATGCAGGTTGTGAAGGGTCACAATATGCAACTTCTAAAGAAATACAATGTTTGAACGTGGGTGAAGTTGCTTCCAAGATATGCCCTGCCCAAAGGACTTGCATTTAACCTCGATTTGTGTTTAGATCAGAACTGATCCCAGTGCTCTCCTGAGTGTGCATTCTCCTTGGAAAGATTTTTGGCTTGGGAGAGAAATGTATCACTTCAAGCCTCCAACAGTTTTCTGTCTGTCTTCCCCTCAGATCCCCCATTCCTCGTTAGCTGACCACAAGCAATAAGCATCTTGATGACATTACTGTATCCAGGAGACTACACTTCAACTTGTTACCATGTCATTTGAACACTGCTGGCCTTTTCTGAGGGAGAGGGTCTGCGCACTCTCTTAAGAAACCTCTAGAAGTGGAAATGAAGCACAAAGCAATGAAAACCCTGTGTCCCACCATTCTTTTCTCTGCTGTGCACCGGCAAACCTTGGGGCAGAGGACAGGAGAAAGCAGCGTCAAATGCAGGAGTTAAAATAGGATTGTTAATGAATTCTGACCTCATGTCTCATCTTGCTGTCATTGGGTCTACTTGTGTGTATGTACAAACATTTGCTTTATTGTTTTACAGAGCATTTGTGCCCCAGGCTTCAGCCACCATGCATCTCCCTGCACAGATCGGTATGTGTTAAATCTAGAAATGCAATTTAACTGACAGAGAGGACACCTGTCGAGGCTCTGATAGATCAAATGGCCTATTACTATGTTCTAGATCCTATGTAATGAATTTTCCTAGACACAAACTTACAGAAATGCAGGGAAAAAAAATGACTTTTTCAGGCTGTCCCAACCATCCCCTTGGAGTTTCCACCAGCTGGGGTTGTTTACCTCCTCTAACTCGGCCACAATTTCATGAAAGTGGGCCTTGAAAAAGCATTACCTCCAGGGTTATATTAACAGACCTAATCTGAGAATTCCCAAAGCCTGTGAACTCATCAACCCAGCAGTCCCAGCATGGAGCCTCAGTCGATAGGCTGGAGAAAGGGTAGCAGCATAGTCTCTCTCCACCTTGCCCAGTGCCCTGGCACATGGTTCCTCAGTGGAACATACTGGCTCCTGATGCCCCATGTTCAATGTTTCTGCCCATCACACCTGCCCGGGCCCAATGCAGTAACTGAACAAAAACAACAACATTTAAAAGATTTGAACCTTGGCAACACTCCACATTGGAAAGGTAATTATAGAATTCTTTGTCACCCTTCTGCTTTCACCACGTTCCCTTTGAAGTGGGAGGTTTAAACATCCCCTTCCCCTCATTCTGCCACACACAGTTACTTCTCACATCGTGCATCATATTAGAATCCCTACAGTGTGGAAGCAGGCTATTTGGCCTATCGAGTCCACACTGACCCACTTCGCCCCCATCTAACCCTGTATTTCCTATGGCTAATCCACCCAGCCTCCACATCTTTGGACAGTGGGAGGAAACCGGAGCCCCCTGAGAAAACACACACAGTCACCAAAGGGTGGAATTGAACCCGAGTCCCTGGCGCTGTGAGTCGGCATTGCTAACTGCTGAGTCATTGTGCCACCCATTAATCGCTTATTGAGAGAGTAATCATGGGCTTTTATTCATTCCCTTTACTAACCTCCCCCTCATATTTAACCTTCCCCTCCTTGTCCTTCGGCTGCCCCGAATCAGGAACTGTAGTCACTGTTGTGTTAAACTGTTTTACACCATTTAGCAAAACCAGTTCAAATGAAGAGTCATTATTGGACTTAAAACATTACTTCATTTTCCCTTTCAGCAGATGATGCCAGACTTACTGAACTTCTCCAGCACTTTCAGTTTCTGTTAGCAAAACCTCTTTTCTTTATGCCCTATGCCTCTATTTATAAAGTCCATTGAAAGCACAGTTTCATATCGTAAACTTGACAACCAAGACTTCATCAGACAATTACACACAACTTAATTATTTGTACAATGCAACCTGCTTTACTCCTTTAACCAGGCCTTATGTAGTGTCCAGGCAACAACAGCTCATAACAAGGTGTGGAGCTGGAGGAACACAGCAGGCCAGGCAGCATCAGAGGAGCAGGAAAGCTGACGTT